CAAAGGATGTGGAGAACCTCAGCTGAAGTACTGCATACCTTTGAGGAGTGGGCCTCTCTTTCCAGAGAATTGGAAAGATGTATTTGAGATTCATCTGCAGAGCAAGTCACAGCATGACGAGATGAGTATGGCATCATTCAACAGCTCTGATGATAGCTTCCCTTCATTCTTCCAGGTGTGTCTGCTCAGCTGACCAGCACTCGTCTCCGTCGGAACACCTCCGTGGGTACCCCGTTCTGGATGGCTCCAGAGGTTAGATCTGTTTTTAAAAAAATTTGTCAGTGGTATTCAAGCTGCTGCATTCTGCATTTCTTTCTTTGTCTTTCTTCCTGACCACTGGACCTTTCACCAAGTGAAATAGCAATGTCCTTTAAAAAAGTGTTAAAAAAAAATTTTTTACATGTTTGCAAGGATTAAGTTAAAGTGGGGTTTATTTTTGAAATTACAAGGTTAGAGCCAGAGAGCAATATGTTGAATTGCTAAAAAGTTAAAGAGGAGAGAGTACTACCTCTTTCAGAGCCTTCCAAGCTCTGAAACTCTAGGTATCTCATCCCCATGGATGGAAGGAGCCCAGGGTGGTATTGGGATAGATTATACCTTTTATTTTTGTATTTCTACACCTGGAAAGTTTTTAATGTGCTATATCCAAAGCTGACAGCAAGAAATGGAAGGGGTTTTTATGAATAAATAAGATGTAATATGTATCTTTGGAGATCTTTCTGGCCTGAAACTGAAGCATATAAAGATACATTTTAAGCTGAGGCAGGAAAAATACTTTGTTATAAATAAGCCTATATACTTACACTATTTGTGTGTAAGCAAACACATGCATGTACATCTGTTTATAGCACATGAAACTACTCTGTTTCTACACGTTGCCATATAGCTAATGGTGTACAAGATGGTTTAGACCTGTAGCTAATGGGATGAAAAATTCTAGATTTATCCAGCATTGTGGATGAGCTGAAATTAAATACATTTGCTGTAATCCAGTGGCAAACACATTGTCAAGAAATTAGCTTGATTGTGAAACTGCCTGATTTGGCTGAATAAGGAGCTGGTGTGAGACAGTGAATTCAATTTTTGCTTTCCTGCTTGTTTCACTTCATAGGGGGAGCAGTATAGCTCCATTAGTTATTTTGCAGGAATAATCCATAGAAGAGACATTTAGGGTTGCTGAGTTTCCTCCTACTTCCCTCAGCCGTGGCATGCACTTTACCACCTTCAGCTGAATGAGCCAAGGATTTGCACACTTTTGTCAGATCAGGGAACATCTGATCAGATAACAGGCTGGTGCTCGTGGAGACCTGCTATCTCTAGTTTAAGCATTGCTTTTTTTAGGCAACAGGATGCTTTAACTTGCTAAATGTGTGCAAGTCTGTTTATTTCATCCAGTATCTCCATCCTGTAAGAGACTTCCCCAGCTGTGGGTGTACTTTTAAATTCGGACATTTGACTATCTGGTGACCATCCCAGTCTTTTACTCCAACAGGTGATTGCCTGTGAGCAGCAGCTAGATAGCTCCTATGATGCCAGATGTGATGCGTGGTCACTGGGTATTACTGCAATAGAGCTGGGAGATGGAGATCCACCCCTTGCTGATTTGCACCCTATGAGGGCACTCTTCAAAATACCAAGGTAATATCTTGCTGTGTTTATTTCTTGCCAAGGTAGACTGAACTTTTTCCTTAACTATTACTTTCTCCAAATTTAGACTGTATATATGTGGAGTTTCTTCTATTATTACTTTCTCCAAATTTAAACTGTATATATGTGGAGTTTCTTCTATTATTTATACTTGGAGGAAATAATAGAAATACTTTGTCCAGCTGTATTTTCTGCAGGGTCTACTTCAACCATGTGTGCACATTTCATTCAGAGCTAACTGTGGCTACATTTGAGAAAAAGCCATAAGGCTTTCTCCTGAGTGGACTGCTGCCCAAGATACATGAGCACAGGACTTAGCTGACTCCCGTATATTCTGTTACAGAGAATAACTTATGATAGAAATACAGGGTGTGAGTATATTCCACAGTTTGTGGTGAACAGGCCACATACTGGTCCCCAAGAATGATCTCATGTCCTTTGAAGCAAAGTATTGTTTCACCACTCACATACATTTAGGCTGCCACTTTTCATGGTGCTGCTCCTGGCGATTCCACTGTTGCTTGTCCTCAAGCAGTACAAATAGCAACTTCTTTAATTTTTTCTTTGAAGCTGGAGATGAAAGTACCAGAAGTGCGGCTTGCAGCAATTCAAATAACATCAATCTCAAAGGTCTGTAGGGGATGACCATACATACAGTTTGTGGATTTCACTCTGACAGTTGGAGCAGTTCCACAACAGTTGAGACCACATAAGTATACATGAGTGCTTCAAGTCCTTTTCAGCCAGGTCACCAAAATTACTTTAAATTACCTTCAGGTTTAAGAAATCTTGGCTGACTTGGCACTGAATGCTCTTCTCACCTTTACGTGCTATGGGAAAAGCAGTTACAAACTGTTGTGGTCAGTCATTTCCACTAGGCCTTCAAAAAACCATCTGGCTTATCATCTGGCTTATACCCGTACAAATACTGGGCACCTTTTTTCCCTGGAGCAGATGTAAGATCAATACCTTTTCATTACATTAAGTAAGACCTGAAAGTGATAGAGTAAAGCACATTGAGCAGCACTAAAAGAAAAGCAGTTATGACGAGTGATTGAAAATAGACAAAAAAGTCACCCTGTCTATACATCATTCCTTTTGTCTTCATGAATATACTCAGTGAAAATGGCACCCCTGACTGAATGGAAGAAGGCTGTTAAAACAATTTGAATCAAATTAACACCTAGAATAAACATCTCTAACTCAACAGAAAATAAAGTAGTATTTCTTTACAATAGAACTGTATTTAGTCCTTCACTTGACTTCTGATTATCTTCTGATGAATGAGAAATAGTTAATAAAGAGCTAGTGTATTCTGACACTTTGTTCAGCAAGATGATTAATTCAGTCCTTCTGGGAAAACTTAAAATAGAATTTATTTTAAAAAATTTTATATTGTTTCAGGCTTGAAAAGAGAAACTTGCCGCTACAAGTGAATAGTGATTAATGGGTTGTTAGTTTCATTTCTGTTTATTGATTTGATTGAAACAATTATTGTGATTCTTAACTACGCTTGGTAGATCATCTCCATGCTGTTTCTCCTTGTTGGATATGTAAAGTAGGAGAACCACTGAGGCATTGTATCATACACTCATGATCCTTTTACCAGTGGAAATCAATACCTTTTTTCAACAGCCTTCTAAAACTCATTACTCAGCCTGCCTTCACACATTGTTTTTGTCAAGTGAGTAGCTTATTAACTTATCATCACACTGACCTTTGCAGGAATCCTCCTCCAACGCTACAGCAGCCTGAACTGTGGTCACCTGAATTCAATGACTTCATTAACAAGTGAGTAACAACTGAGACCACTGTAGCCGAATATGGAACATGTGTAAATGTCATGTGTAAAATATCTTTTTATTCTCTGTGGAAATCTGTTGCTACTAATAGTTTTCCTTAAAAACCTAGTTTGTAAATCCAGTTTTATTTCCAAGTGAGGCTCCAGATTTAAAACATGAAATAACATTTTAACACACTTGATGTTTCTGTTTTTCTTAATTTAAAGTATATGTAGTTTTAAAAAGCAGTAATTTAACTTCTTGGTCTCATCAATTCTGTGAAATCCTAACAATTTTCAATATAAAGCTGTCATGATTAAGATGGTTGTATTTATTATGGAGGTATGAATGAACTACAGACAAGCATTTCAAAACTGAACAGCAATCCCTCAATGATCATACACTTTTTCTGCCAGCACAGGTGCTTGACTAAAGATTATGAGAAGCGTCCGACAGTATCTACTCTTTTGCAGCATGATTTTATTAAGCAAATTGAAGGAAAAGAAAACATGCTACAAAGGCAGCTCATGGAATTTATTGATGTTCATCAACAAATGGGAGTCACTGAAAAGGCAAGGTAAAGGTAGCTAAAAAGTAGACCAGTTGGGACAATTTTGATACTTTCACTGTTTCAGAATGGCTAGTGCTCAGAGAGTGCTTCACCTCTCATAACTTTAGCTGTCCGAAAAATAAAGAGTTTGATCTTTGGGGTCCCCTACAGAGCCAGTGGAAAGAGAGGGGCATCATGATTCACACATGGGATGAAGCAATCTTTAGATACTCATGTGACTCAAGATGCAGATTAGGATCCCAGCTTTCAGAAAGCTAACGTTAGGTGAAAGCTAAGGTTAGGTGTTTGGCATTTTCTTACATTTGTATGGTCAGCTAATCATAGGATCATAGAATGGTCTAGGTTGGAAGGGACTTTAAAAATAATCTAGTTCCAACCCCCCACCATGGGCAGAGACACCTCCCACTAGCCCAGGTTGCTCAAAGCCTCATCCAGCCTGGTCTTGAACACCTCCAGGGATGGGGCATCCACAGCTTCTCTGGCCAACCTGTTCCAGTGCCTCACCACCCTCACAGGAAAAAATATCTTTCTAATATCTAAATCTACCCTCTTTCAGCTTAAAATGTTTAGTTTAAGCAAATATGCTAAAAATAACTAGTCAAGCTCTTGCAAGAATTGGATGCTACCAACTGAAAGAAGCAATAGTGGTACCAGACCTGGTTTTGCAAACTTCAAATCTTATGTCTTATTAAATAGATACTTTCTTTCTTCCATTAGTATTTAGTAATGTCAATTCTGTGTAAATCACTTAGCACCAGATGGCTTTTATTTAAAACAATGGAAAATGGCTTGGCTCAGTTTTGCAATTAAAAAAAAAAACACCCAGTACACTGAAGTAATGTATCAGGTGTGAAATGTAGTAGAAGATTACTATTGATGTACTATGGTGCGACTTCTCCTGTGCTACAAGGTAAGGGATGACAATTTTTTTTTTTATTTTAATGGAACATAAAAGACATTTTGGCATTATCATCTGTATGGAAAAAGCTTACTAAAATTTTCCACATTTCCTTTCACACATATTTATAATACGAATATATACAGCAGTCTTCAGTTCTGATTTTGGAGAAATTTCTATTTACTCTGTCCTTTGAAGATAATAATAAAAAATATATTTCTAAATAATTTCTGATTTTCAAGTTTTCTTGGACTTTGTGTAAGTGGATGTGGGACGAGTAGTAGTTTTTTTTTTTCTGGCATTTGAGTAAAAATCTATGCAATTGTCTTAAATGTAAGCCTCAGACTGGATTTGTATGTTCTATATGGTGCAGACTTGACATTTGCATAATCCAGAAAGATTCTGGAATTGAAAGAGGCTTATTGGATCTCAGTGCTGAGCAGTAAAACAGCAATATACTCCAGACTTTAAAAAGTATTTATTCATAAAACACAGGGAAACAATATGTGGTAAAACAAGTCCAAAACACTAAACAATTTAAATCCTGATAACACTTGTGAAACAGGTCTTTTCAAAGCCTAAATAATTATTGAAAATCAAGCTTCTAAGTCAATTATCTTGAGCTTTTTTACCCATTTTATACAACTCATGTTTGTTTTCAATCAAGTCCTATTCTTTTTTTCAAAATCCTTTCATTTTTTCAGGTACATGCCACATAAAGCAAATTACATGAACTTTCATTGCCTATACAATACAAAGATAAAGTGGCCCAATTTACATGTGCATAGAGCAGTCAAATAGCACAGGAACAGGACAATCTTTTGGCACTTTCTCCGTCCTTTTTAGACTCTATGCTTTTACAGTTGATTAAGTGTAATTTCTACATAGATTTTCCCAAAGGAAGATGGAATTTTCTCTCTGAAAATAATAAAATTTTGTTATCTGAATCTGTGCCAAAAAAATAACTTATTTAACTAAGGGTATAATTTAAATGGCATGGTTAAACTAGTAGCTTGGTGTGTACTGTCCATATTTCAGTTTAGCAGTTTAAAATACTAACAAGTAGGATGATACTAGTTTAAATCTCATTTGCATTGATTTAACCAAGACTTTTCATACCTGAGGTAACTGAAGGTAGTATGAAACACTGCAAGTAAAAATCATATTTTACAGTCACTGTACATACAATCACTTCAGCTTTAACACATTTATTGACTACATTTGCTGGAAGATTGTCTGTTGCAGTGAATGCATAGAAAGATTAGCCTTCTAGAAACAGTAAGAATGCCCATCTTAATATCTATTGCTATCTCTCTACAAGCAAAAAAAGCAAAGATTATTTACCAGTAGCTGAAACTGTAGTAAAAGTATGTACATCATTTCACTTTAGAAGAAATTAGAATTCCAGGCCTGTAAAGGACATTATTACAGAATGGCATTTGTTTTTTCTTCTTTTGAATGATAAAAAGATTATATACAGTTCTTTGAATTCAGTAGTCATACTTTTTTAAAGTCTTTAAATACTAATTATGTGTATCTTGACCTTCAGTCTTCACAGAGCAAATGGTATCAACAGAAGTCTGTACAATAGTACCACATAAATCTGATTCAGAGTCAACACATAGGCTATGTAGTGACAAGTCACTTGGAAGAGTCTCATCTTAGAATCTCCTGCCTTTCTTGATAATCCTGTTCTGGGATTGTTTTTATACTGGTGTGTTAGGGCCCTACTCTGCAATTCCTGAAATTTCACTGGTTGCTGGCAACTTTCTTTCTAAAGCTCCCTCTTGATCTGCAGCTCAGGCTCTCTTCGTCCATAATTTGAAGGCATAGCTCTTCCACTTGCTGTCACTGGGAGGGAGGTAGCTTAAGGGATTAAAGAACCCTTCCTTCCACTGAGGGAAGAAATCCTCTTACCTGTGTCATGTTGTATAAATGGGCATGCTGTATAAACTCAAGGAATTTGGTAATGTTGACTTAAAGCTGACAGTAGGGAATCCAGTTATTTTCTCATTATGTGTTTCCTCTCCTCTTCAAATTACACTTTATTAATAAATATTTTGTATTTCGAAAGAAAAAAGTAAAATGTCTGGAAGTTAATAGCTGAGGTCTGGCCACTGCGTCTTCCTGTGTGCACTGTTCTTGTGTTCACTCCATAGGAAGTCACCCTGTTTGCCCACCATGTTGAGGTGTAATTTGCCTCTGACTGCATTCTGCAGTAGTAGCTTGTTGTTTCAGCTGTGATCTTGTCATCTTGACATCTGAGTGTGCATTTCGTAAATTTCAGAAAGAAGAGATCGTGTTAGGTTATGTCACATTCTCAGAGATTTTTGCAGAAGGCCAGGTCCTCGGATCTAATCTTCGTGTGCCCTGTCTGCTCAGGAGGGCTGTGTGATCTCTAGGCACAGAGTGGAGCCACCCTGCAGTCACTCCCATTAGCACCATTGTTCCTGTGGTGTTTTGTATCATTTAGGAGGCACTGAGTCATTAGGGCATTGCACTGAGCCCTCTGAACCTTCCCATTATTGCTCTTCCAGTGAAGAAGAACCAAGCATTAGCTCATTGTGCCTGCATCCTTTCCAAACACCTAGCAAGAGAAATAGAGCCCACCAACCTCCTGAGTAACCAGAGAAGTCTCAACTTGATGATGAGAGCAATATGCCATAGATTTGCTCCAGACTTAATGAAGTTGGTGGAAGATTGTACGTGTTTTTCAGTAGTTTTTCAGTAGCCTCTGAACAGAGCCTTAGAGTACCAACATGTCTTGTGCTACTCAAGGCTCTAAAAAATCATGAATCCTAGCAATAAGCTTCATTAGATTACACTTTTGGACTTTGAGCAACTGCAATATGTTTTTCTTTAAAGTTATCACTTCTTTCTGCTTAAAAAATCTGTTTGCAACTTAACCTTACCTAGCTCAGATCTCACATTGAAGAAATTATGATTGGAAGAGCATGAGAAAATGTCCCTTGATAGATCAATATTTTCCCACATCATCTTGACTGAAACATCTCTTAAAGTTTGCTTTATGGAATGATGAAGTAAGCTATGGCAGATAAATTATGTTAAGGAGTAGGTGAAGCAGGCCAAGTTGCATACCTAGTGTATTTAATTTGTGGCTTTGTTGTTTAGCATTTAGGTACTCTCTGAACTGTGAATTCCTGGTGAGCAGAGTCATTTTCAGGACAAGTGTCCTGGGCAGGAGTTACCTTTTATCATGGCTGTGGCAAGAAAAGCCTATTTCATTGTGCAACTTCATAAGGCAGTATGTGCCTCTCTTCAGAGTGGTTCATGACTCATAATCATCATGATACTTCTTTTCCCTCAGTACTGTAAAACTGACGAACTTTCAGCTGATGGAACTAATTCTGTTACATCCTAGTAGTATGATCTTGAGGTTTTATACAAATAAACTTCATCCCATATCTGTTACTCCAGTCCTTAGGACCACCTAGCTCTTTAAATTCAGTATTTCAATTCTTTTCTGTGTTGACAGTGACACAAAAAGCATGATAATGGAATTTATTGCACAATCTCTAATGAAAATAAGACAAATTTTCTAATGAAGAAACAATAACCCCGTTTGAGCCTGATCATTCACTTTTGGACACTGCTTAATTTTCCCCTCACTTTTAGCCAATCCCTCAATCACATACTTACATTCTTGTAAGTCACATTATAGCTGTTAAAATTTATAATTAGTGATGAAAATAATTATAAAAAAATGAGTGCTGCAGCATATACCCAAAAACTGATCTAAAATTACACTTCTAGCTAGACCAAATGAGGGGAAATAGCTGCATTGTAAAGAGTTTTACTTTGCAACAGAAATAGCTGCCTTTGAAACGGCCTTCAGAACTGTCGCAGCTACTCCTGACAGTCAGGCATGTAAGACTTTTATCTTGAGTTGTTTGGCTGTCTTAATCTTGACTGCTTTTACAATAATCTGTGTAGAAATGTGCAGTGATTAGTACAACGTGTATTTCTTGGGAATTATGACTCATTCCAGAATGAGCTGCGTATGCAAGGGATATTCACTGCACCTAGATTTCAGCAGCTGACTTTGGTCCCCAGGTTAAGAGCCTCATCTTTCTATTCTCTCTAAATA